TGTGTGCGCGCGTGTGTGTGTGTGTGTGCGTGTGTGGTTGTGTGCGTGCGTGTGTGTGTGTGTGTGTGTTGAGGGCAGCAGGCAGGAAATAGATTGTATAGATGCACAGACAGCAGAACCTGACTTGAATAGGTGATGTGGGTGAAGGAACAAATAAGGCATAAATACTGTGACTGAATCTGCTGGAGAAACAGACAGATGGACGAATCTATAGATCAAACCCTCCTTAAACAGAACAAACTGTGCAGCAGACAGCTGTGATCGGTTTGAGTGCAGAGTTTGGCTGTGGTGAGTCTATGGTGTGGTCTTGTGAAGTAATCACACAGCTTGCACTTTGTTTTCATGATCTTGATGCAGAGCAGCTGTGGGGAAGAGCGAGGATTAGTTCAGCTCCCACTGGACTGATGGACAATCTGTAGAGGCTCATTAGTCATTAGTTTAAAACACAGACTTTAGGTGCGGTCACTCTGAACTTCTCAATGACTTCAAATCACGCAACAAATATGGCCGACAGGAGGTGCAGGATAGTTTCTGCTGCAAAGGAAAATAAACTATAAATGACCAGCATTAATGCAAAATATTAACATTGAGGATGCAAGATATATCATTAACCTACAGTATAATAAATCAACACTAATTCATGTATTTGCAAGTAGATATGTAATTGTGTATTAGCATTTCCCTTGTTTTTTTACATTTATTTTGTCACTTCATCTTTTAAAAAGCTAGACTGAATGCTGTTAAATGATCTTGAGATAATTATGCATTTTTTTGTACTGTACACTATATTGCAGTCACGCGTAGCATTTTAACCTTTTTTTGTTGGGTTTTAGTTTTTAGGTGTTGCATTTGTTTTATTTATTTAGACAAAATAATTCATTTACATTTCATTTTGGCCATTTAAATAAATTGTGGTTATCAGTCATAATGTGAAATCGAATCTTCAAACAAATTTAAATTCTTCATTATGTGCAATACAGTGTTGTAATGCTTAAATTCAAGGACTATAACATCTAATTTTAGTTTTTAGTGTTTTATTTTTCATTTATTTAGACAGAATGGTCATTTTTACATCAGTTATTGGTCAAATGATTGACGAGAAATTTAATACAAACTCATCCCTAATTAAAACATATCACCTACTATATTATCTGTGACAAGTTTAATGTTGTCCATTTAATGGTTATCAGTCATAACGTGAAATCAAATCTTCAAATGAAGTTTGTTTTTTTTTCCATATTGGACCATGCAATGTTGTGATGCTTCAATTGACTTACAGCAAGGACTAATTTTTAGTGTTTTATTTTTCATTTATTTAGACAGAATGGTAATTTTAACATTTCAACTTTCAACAATTTTAACTTAAAGGCTTTCCTAATTTGCATACTACCTGCCCTAAATAGTTTGCAACATTATTATATCTCAGTACTGGCAGAGTATTTATTCAAAAGTATGAGTTTTCCCATCGAAGTAAGGACCTTTCAGGTGTAATATAAGTATGATAATTAGGATACAGCCTATGCAACACATCTATGCACAAGTGTCAACACAAGTGTCCCTCAGTATATCATTTGACAATGCCGTGTCAAGGAGATTTCAGAAATGCACCGCATTTGGATCTATTGACTGAAACCAGATTTGAACAGTCATCTGGCACTTTTTCATAAGCTTTATCTGGCTTTAGCATAAGCAGAGTCTCCGTCTCATGAGTGATGGCCCAGAAGACTCATTGAGAAGGAGACCACCTGTTCTTATCCACTGTCTTTAATTGAATAACAGCGCAATCAGGATCCATGTATGCCGAGCAATTAGACCCTGCCTTGTTTGCCGTGAACGCTGGTCATGTGATGAGATCTCGTTACTGGAGTCGTGTTTCTGCTGGACTCCATGTCTCAGTAATTTTCTGAGATGTCACACGCCTCATGCTGTTGGCAGAGAGAAGACGCTGGTCATTTTAGAAGCTGACACTCTTGAGCCCTTGCGGTCACCTCCATGCCCTCTATCAAGATGCTAATGAGTTAACATTCAACACCTCCCACCAATCACACGAGACGAGCTGACGAAGTCATTACGGACGTGTTGCTGTGGAAGTGTGCCATTGTGTTTGGGTGAGTATAATTGACAGTTCTGATTAGATATTAACTAAAGTATCAGATGTGGGACAATTTACAAGCCTGAGATTCATTCAAGGACACGACGACAAGGACAAATTGCTACAGAAAGTGAGCAGAAGAAAATGTGTCAATTTATGAAAAGATGCATACATCCACACTTTAATTATATTCATAGCAGGCTGTGCAATAAAGGTTATAGAGTTAATAATAATAATAATAATAATAATAATAATAAAATGTCATTTAAAAATTAATTGTTTATTTTTAAAAGTCCAATAACTAATATTTATAATCTGACACACTGACACAATAATATCTACAATAACAGATCATTAATAATAATAATAATAATAATATTTTTAATGTTCAAAATCTACTATTTAGAACCCAGTTCTAAATAGTATCCCATTAATTATTTTCAATAAATCACACAATAATAACTACAATAACAGAGCATTATTATTATTATTATTATTATTAATAATAATAATAATAATAATAATAATAATAATAATAATGTTCTGTTGTTGTAGTTATTATTGTGTCAATGTTTTTAAATATTAGTTATTGGGAAACATTTATTTAAAAATTATTATTATTATTATTAATGATCTGTTATTGTAGCTATTATTGTGTCAATTATGAAGGATTGTCCTTGAAAGACATTTTAAAATATTATAAAATATTAGTTTTTGAACATTTAAAAATAAAATGATTATTATTATTATGATTATGATTATGATTATTATTATTATTATTAAACCTAGTGTGGCTATTCTTTTATAGGGGGGTTGGCATTCATTTCATAAACCAGCATCAAATTAGGTCCGAAAAGGTTGTGCAATTTAATTGCTAATAAACAGCTCTCTGAAAATCCCTTTATAGACGTCACTGACTAAATTTGAACACTTTTTCATTCATTTGCACTTTCCTTTTATCATTTTGCATTTCTTACCACAGCTGACCTTGGCTGTTGAGAATGACCAATAATATGGATGAGCTTTTAGTCAGATTGGGTGAAGCAGTTTAGACGAATTGACTTGGCCGGATTGAGGCTTTTCTTATTGCAATAAAGCTACCTAATTTATCCAGCGCCATCCCCCGCGTCCCCTTTGTCCTTCTGGAGGGACGCAGAGTGTTTAGCAGTGTTGTGTTCTTTCTGTGTCCTTATAGAGAATCTGAGCTGCTGTAGTTTTGCTTTCATTATTCAGCTGGAGAATGTGGTTATAGAAGTTGCACACATGTTCAAGAGGAGCCCACTCGAGAGAGTGCCATACTGTCAATACGTCCTTGAGGAATGATGAAAAACCAGTTTAAATGGATGGTACATGCTGGGGAATAAAAGTCAACTTCTGCATAGACACCTTGAGAGAAACTTGTCAAGATATGAGAGAAATATGAAGGATGCAGAGGACACAACTGAGGATTACGGGCAAGAGCTGCTCGAAAACACAACCGGTGAGTCTTAAAGGGATAGTTCACCCATAAATTAACATTTGCTGTTCATTTACTCCCCCTCAGGCCATCCAAGATGACAATAGTTGACTTTTTTACTTCAGTAGAACAGTAAGGAAGATTTATTAGCTGAAACCGTGGTCGTTGGTGCTTCATAGCATGCAAGTCAATGGCTACCGCCACTTTGAGAGTCAAAAAAGCATATCAAGGAACACAAAATTAATACCCATGGCTCCTGATGAGATATTGAGGTCTTATGAAGAGAAACGATCGGTCTGTGCAAGAAAATGAACATTATTTACAGCATTATTAGCTGTAATCCAGAGCCTCAGGCAAACGGGGAAATCAGATTATTTTCTGTGAACTGGTTCTTTCGGACAGTTTGTTTCAATTAACTGGTTCAATTCAATTTGTGTTCCTGTGGCTCAGTGGTAGAGCATTGCGTTAGCAGCGCAAAAGGTCGTGGGTTCAATTCCCAGGGAACACACATACTGGTAAAAAATGTATAGCCTGAATGCACTGTAAGTCGCTTTGGATAAAAGCGTCTGCTAAATGCATAAATTATTAATTATTAAATTATTAATTCACTAGTTCATTTATGTAATCACACAATGACAAAACATATACACAATTACATTATTAAAGCACGCAATAATGATGTGAAACACGGATGTATTTAAAGTGAATAAACTCATCTTCATCAGCTCACCTTTTGACATAAACCAAGAGAAACCATAAAAACGTCCTTTTGCACTTTCATTCAAGTGCTCGGTTCACTCATGCTCATATCAGCGGCTCATCGGTCTTCAGTCCGAGTCGAACCGTTTCCTCAGTTCAGTGACTTAGAGGAACTGGAGCGCTGAATGATTTATTCATCACAGGATCAGATACACCGCTATTTCGGCTCATTTCCAGTCGGACTGACTGTCAGGTGGCTGAAAGTGAGTTTTGATTGAGTAACTTGTAGATCTGTGCTGCTCGAGACATGAACTGTTTCAGGTGAACTGGTTCATCTAGTTCACTAAAAAGAACCGGTTCAAAAGAATGATTCATTCGTGAACCGTACATCACTCTGGATCATTTGCCTGAGGCTCTGGATTACAGCTAATAATGCTGTAAATAATGTTCAGTTTCTTGCACAGACCGATCGTTCGCTTCATAAGACCTCAATATATCATCAGGAGCCACGGGTATTAATTTTGTCTTGCCTGTACATGCTTTTTTGACTCTCAAAGTGACGGCAGCCATTGACTTGCATTTTATGAATCACCAACGACCACGGTTTCAGCTAAAAATCTTCTGTACTGTACTACGGAAGACGAAAGTCACCTATGGTCATCTTGGATGGCCTGAGGGTGAAGAAATTAACAGGAATTTTTGGATGAACTATCCCTTTAAAAACAACACTGCAAGGAAGGAAAAGATTAAAATCACGGCCTATGGAATGAGTTGCCGATAATAAAATGAATTCAGTGAAGACAATGTGGCTTTGTAGAGCTTTACCTTCTGTCTCTGGCACTGAAAGACACCACGTGGATTCCTAGCGGCCCACCGCCATTGGACACCTCAACCGGCTTCAACATTTCACTAGGGACATTGACAAATGAGGGCAATGAGAGGAGAAACAAAACAGAAGAAACCAAGTAATCAAAGAAAAGGCAATACATAAAAAGTTTAGAGCATGACAGAGCGGCTATGAGTAGCTATGAGCTGGAAGCTAAGGCTAGTTTAGATCCAGCCCAGCACAAGTCCATCTATAACCCCAGGGGCCATTAAGACACATGGGTCGATGGAGGACCCAAACAGACACTTCAATTAAGTGATTAGGATCAGATTGAGGCCTGCAGAGGGCCAGTTCTGGGTTTTTTAACAGTCAGGGAGCGCACTACACCTGAGAGAAAACATGTGGCAAGAATACATGGGATAAAGAGAGGACAACAAGCATCAGTAAAAAAGATGAGCACAAGAACTGATGAGGTACAATTTTATTAAAATACAGTTAATATTTTAACAGTAAGAAATAGATAGCAGGGTTATTATAGTTAACTAAAGCTTAAAAAAAAAATGAAATCGAAATTGAAATGAAACTTTAAGTAAAATAAAATATAATATAAAAAACCTTAAACTTATTTTATTTCAGCTAATTGCCCAGGCAACATTTCTTTTAGTTCGACAATCTACTAAAACAACTAAAACTAAAGCTGAAAAAAATAAAAATAAAAAACTACTGTATATACATACGGTATTATATATATGTATATATACTTATTTCTTAAATTTCTTAAATTAATTGCTTGATAGTCACTGATCACAGTTTTTCAATACATGGGAAAAGGTAGCCTGGACATTTTCTTAAATATCCCATTTTGTGTCCAGTAGCTTTTTTTGTTTTTGTTTTTTCAGGTGGATACCCTTTTAAGACATTTTAGTAGAAAACAAAGATGTGTTGGATTTTGTTGGTTGTGAGAAAAACAGAAAGCGGTTCCCAAATCATGTGTTGGTCTTGCTGTGGGGACTCACTCGAGTGAAGCTGATTCCACACAGGAGTCTGCCCTTCCCACCGGCTCTATCCTGCCGTTCCTCCCGTTGCCTGCTCTCTCCTCGTCTTCTTCTTCTTCCTGTGGAGCACCAAAGAAACACACTGTGAGTCACCGGTTCTCCCTCAACATCTCACATAAAGCAGCCGATCTCTGGCTCGCTCTAATCTAATTGAGTGACAGATGAGCGTAATGGCTGCTGTTTTAAATCAGGGTGACTGTGAGAGTACGGCCGTGGCATCAGAGCGATGGCTGTAATCGATTATTCATATTCAATCAATCAGTCTGGGCTTGAGCCGCGCTCAGGTCTGCTGCTAATCGGATAAGGGAAGAGTTAAGTGGATGCTCATTTGTTTCTTTCGCTATCCTTATCTAATTTCCATCTCTCTGTCTTTCTATTTCTCAACCTCTTGACACGTCCGATATGTGCAGATGTCATTTACAATTCTTGGAAAAATGTAGAACAATAAGGTCCTGTCAAATAATGGAGGCTGGATTGAAGGCAGACCTCTCATCAAACAAATCGGCAGACTGACCACAAAAAGCATGTCAGCTTTCTTTGAAAGATGACATGCTTTTTATTTATTTATTTATTTTTCCTGCCATCTTTGAAATGTTTATACATGCCGAATAGTAAACAAAGGCCCTCTTTTATATATATATATATATGCCTTTCAATGAGTCTCAGAGAGAATAATAAATAAATAAATAACATATTAATATATAAATAAGTATTTCACACAAAGAAAAAAATACTAAAAGTAAAAAAAAAAATCAAATGAAAATTTAAATGTAAAATATTAATACAAATCTAGAATACTATCTCAATGATATAAAAAAAACAACAACACATTTTTAAAAATGCTAATTAAAATAAATGTTAACTGAGGTAAAATTAAACATTTAATGTCACCAAGTTTCTAAGGCAACATTTCTAATTTTAATTTAGATTACCTAGATGTACTAAATAAATAATAATAATAATTATAATAATAATAATAATAATAATAATAATAATAATAAGGTTACTAAAACTTTTTACTAAAATGAAAATGGGAAAGAAAAGGGGAAAAAAAAGTAGATTATTATCTCACCACTGCAAATATATATAAAAAGGCCAGGCTGCTGTATTGCATACTGTCAATGCACATAATCAAGATTCATATATGCAAACTGTATATTCAGCTAAATAAAATAAACTGAATGAATGAATGAATGAATGAGGGACCAAAGATTAACAACAATCCCTCAATCGAGTTTATCCAATGGCAACTGAATATATTCCACACATTAATTCCACTCGAACCCTTGGCTGTGGATCATTTCCAAAGACAACTGAGTGTCTAGACACGGGCGAGATTCTGCAATGGTTTGTTAGCCACAGATATTAATATTCCAGTGGTCTCACCCTTAACCTTCCCCTCTCACTAAAATGTCAAGCACATCTAAATAAGCGCTTCTCCATCTTTATATGGAAATGCATTCAGTCTCTTCAGACAGTCACCCTCCACCACACGCATCCGCCGCACTGAAGAGGATGACTGGAGTCCTATTTTCATCTGCCTCTATTTTTTTTTTATTGTTGTAGAGGTTAAAGAATGAGTGGAGGTCATGAAAATTGTATTAGCAAACCTCGGAAAAAGTGGCGGCAGGTCTGTTACCTTATTCTGGTGAAAATGAGTCAATTGCCTCTCCAAACACAGTCGAAGGTTTAGCTACTCAACGCCCAACACAATGATTTTCCTGCAGAAATGGCTGGATTTTTGCCTTCATATCGCAGTTTTGGGGCGGAAGAAATCCTAATTATATTTGATCCAGAATTGTCAATCAAACCTTGTCATTCACAGCACTGAATTTTAACAAGACATTATTTACATGGCAATATGTAAAAATATAACTATATAATATATAAACATATCCACAAAGGGAATATATAAGCAGGAAAAAGAGTTATTCTTTAAAAAAAAGTCATATATATAATTGACATGATAAATTGCATTGTTTTTGTTTGTTTGTTTGTTTTTGCATTAAATCCTAAAATGAATTGAGAATCCAAATGGATTTTATATATATACAGCTGTGAACTCTGCTGTCTGCAGCCAGAGAATGAGCTTATTAGCAATGAGAGATAAATTGGAGCGGCGAGGGCCATCACATCGGACCCTGGGAGCTGGTCCAGGCGGTTGAGGAGAGCAGAAAAAGGTCCCTGTCACAAAGTCACTCGCACAGAACACAAAGTGTCACTTTGCCTGTGGTGGAGGTAATGACAGACAGAGAAAACCAGGCTGGATGCCAGACGCTCCATTGTCCGGTTCTGAACACCTGCCAGATGAGAGAACCAATGACAAACTCCTGCATCAGCCCAGCACAGGGGGAAAAGGTCATTTTATAGGCGTCCCAGAGGCGAAGATTGACATGAGCTGTAAGGGATGAATCCACCGCTGTCATTCGGGTGCTTTAGGGCTCTGCTGATATGTGAGTGTTTGTGAGTTTGGGTGAAGGCCAGAAGCCACTCAGAGCAGCAGTTACAGGAAGCCAGAGGTTACAAAGCTGGCGATTGTTCCTGGCAGACGCAGGAGGTCGGTCACATTGAGAGACTGCTGGCTGGTGAGGAGCTGGAGGGAGAAAGTTTTCCATCACAGGGAACTCGGATTATAGGAGGAAACGGGTGATATCTCCAGAATGCTGGATGAAATCCAAACAGAGGTCTGCGTGATCCTACGGATGCCTAGCTGGAGGGCCTGAAGGTCACGTCTGTGGAGACAACCAGTGTCTGACCTCCAGAACAAGCAGATGAAATCAGGAAGGTGACGATGGTGTGACATGACAGTTAGTGACAGGAGGAGAGGTCTGGCCTCTAGCATTGGGTCTAAGGTCGAATTTACACACAGAGACCGCAGGAGTTTGTACTGTGTAACGTTACACAAAAATTATGGTTCAGTACGCACTTCGGTTTTAAAGTCACAGTTCAGTACTAAACTAAACATAAAATTGCTTATTTTCTTCTTTTTTTATTAAACTGTGGTTTACAGAACAAATTGTGCCTTTGTCTTTAAATAAATTCAATTATCATAACATTTTCTTAAGGATAAAAATCTATCTCAGCTAATGTTGTAAACAATCTAGGGAACATTATTACTTGTGCATTACTATAATATTAAAGGTTAGCCCAAACTATTAAATTCAATTCCACTTCATTTTTTAGATATAATAATCAAAACTCTAAGCTTCAAAAAAAATAAACATGTAAATTGCACATGAGGCAGTTTTTACATTCTAAATCTAATTATAAAATAAAGTTTCTCCTCCAAGTCATAATATAATATAAGACACAGTGGACTGAACTTGTTTTCATGAATTGCCTGATAAAATGGACAGAATTTGAAAGATGACACTTTGTTTCTTATAGAAAGTAACAAATCACAATGCTTATTGTGCTTATTGGACGGCAGGTGTGGTTTATAATGTATAGTGAAGGTTTATTCACTCATCAACTGAAGCAGCATAGACCAATAGATCGATCTTAGGATTTAAGAATTAATATCATTTAAGAATCGAATCAATTCTTTAAAATGAACATATACAAAAGAATGAGTTTCATATTAAGTTACACATGTGCATAGGGTAAAACAACGCTGTATTTGGCACCTGCTGCATTAAATGCTCGAGCTCTTTAAAGCAGCATGGATTCTGATTGGCTGGCCATGTATTAATAATTCATCAGCTGGAGAAAATTTGCTGTGAAAGTGATTCCAACAATTTCATTTCCCTGTGTCATTATAGCTGTGGTGTGGCTGTTCTTTTAAATTTAAAACGATTTTTAAAGGGGTCATATGATGTTGCTAACAAGAACATTATTTGGTGTATTTGGTGTAATGAAATGTGTTTATGCGGTTTAAAGTAAAAAAAAACACATTATTTTCCCGCAAATCTTCCCACATCGTGACGTAGACATGTGGGGCCTTGTTAGAACGAGCTGTTTTAGGGGGGCGTGGCTGACTCAACTTTTATAAAGAATATCTCTTTGGATTTGAGACTTTAGTCTTTGCAACTTATTCCTAATTGCATCTACTTCCGGAAGGCCAAATAAAGTGCTTTTGCACTTTTGCATCAACACTACTGCTGTTCCTGAAACCACGCTTTCTTTCTTTGCGTGCACATTTGGGCGGTGTTATGCAAATCTTCCCACATCGTGACGTAGACATGTGGGGCCTTGTTAGAACGAGCTGTTTTAGGGGGGGCGTGGCTGACTCAACTTTTATAAAGAATATCTCTTTGGATTTGAGACTTTAGTCTTTGCAACTTTACAGATCTTCTTTATGCACCAAGAGCTTGTAACACTCCAAAGAGAAAGGAAAAATTGAAATTGCATCATATGACCCCTTTAAAACTATATCTTTATCATTATAGTTAATGTCCTCGGTGTGAATGGGCCTTTAGCAGAAAAACAGAGGCTTCAATCTTATTGGGAGTCACTATATGTCTGGAAGATCAGTTGTAATCACAAGGTAAAGTTAACAAAACAAGGACCAAACTGGAAGAAAAGAATGCTTAAATTAGCCTAAACTTTAAGATGCTTTTTGTTTTTCAGAACTTTTCCGTGAAAGCTTTATTTGATGCACTAAACCGACATTCAAGTGCAAAACTGTGCATTTCACTTAGTTTTCTATGCTGTGTTTGATAAATAATCAGTAGTCTAATAAAAAGCTGCAAAGTGGACTAGACCTTAGACTGATCAAAAACAGGTCTATGTGAGACTGCTACAAAAAGCAAATGCAATTATTTTCCATTCTGCTCACCAATGTTCTCAGGAACAGATGTATTTTGAGGGAGGATATCTTAAAATCTATACACAAACATGCAGCTCTGCATCTTTAACCCAGAACTGAATGAAAGGCCTATTTTCTTGTCCAATGTAAAGTGCTGGAAATGTGCCGTAAAGTAAATATAAGGAAGCAAGCAATTTGTACAGAGTCTTTCAAACAATGATTGTCCAAATATTTACAACCTCCAATAATAGTGACCTCACTCCAGTTCCTGACTACGTACAAAAGTTGGTAATGACCTCCAGCGAAACGCCC